GACATTACTGATTTCTTTATTATATTGCCTTACGATCATGTGCATGCTACTGTTATAATTTGATTATTGGCATGCATATTGGCTCTCTATTGTGTGTTAAGATTAGCTATAAGATTTGGTTTCTTATTGGATTGTTTAGCTTGTTATATGCTATTAAATATTTTCAAGTCAGGGCAGAGGATTAAGAGTGTGAGATTGACTAGGATTCATCAAGTTCTGTTTCTTTATTTTAAGCTAATTGTTGTAGAGATGAGGATGCTAGGGTGAATGAGTGACTTTACTTTTAGAGACATAATACGAAATGAGCATACATGTGAAAAGGTTGGAGTAGCTCCAGTGGAAGATAAAATTAGAGAGTTTCCTCAGATGATTTGGTCACATAAGACGGTGACCTTCTGATGACCTGGTTAAGAGAGTGAATGTATTAGATTTGGCTTATGTTAAGAAAGGTAGAGGTAGATCTAAAAAGACTTGGTTAAAAAATATTTATTAGATTTAAATGAGAAATTGACTTTTAACAGGACACAATGTAAAAAAAGAATTCATGTAACTGACCCCACATAGTGAGATAAAGGTTTGATGTTATTGTTGATGTTGTATTAAATGCTAAAGAAGATGAAATACGTATGTATAAGTTAGTCAAGCAAAGAGATGTGAGAAGTAATTGTTTAATTCTAGTGAAGTGCATTAAAAATTAAGATAAAAAATATTTTTATTAGAATAAGACATTCAATATAGGTGGATGGGATATTTTAATTAACTTTTTAATGAGGATTGTGAGAATACGATTGATTTTAGTAACCTTTGCACCCTAAATGAAAATAATTTTTTTTTGTTTTTATCATCGTATCAATAAAATTGAAATTAAAGAGGCTTTTAAAAAAATGAAGTGTGGAAAAACTGTTGGACCTGATGATATTCCAATAGATGCATGGAAATGTTTAGGAGATAAATGAATTTGTTGGCATACAAAACTTTTTAATCTTATTTTAAAAACTAAAAAGAGATGTCATATGACTTGAGAAAAAAGTATGTCGGTTTCTATTTTTAAGAATAAATGTGATGCACAAGATTACGCCAATTATATAGGAATTAAGTTAATGTGTCATACATTAAAACTATGGAAGAGAGTTATTGAGCATAGGTTAGTATGTGATAGTAATGTTTAAAATCAATTTGGATTCATGTTGGGTAGGTCTACTATGGAAGTTATATATTTATTGAAAAGTTTGATGAAAAAATGTAGAGAGAAGGCATATCCCATATGATATTTATTAGGGGTGTCAATATTGGACACGACACGAAAATCCAACTCGAACCCGAAACAAAAATTTTGGGTTTTGGGTTCGGGTAAACTCGAACCTGAAATGGGTCGGGTTCGGGTCCTGATTTTATACCAATTTGAAATTCTGGGTTGGGTTTGGGTTGATCTGGAAACCCGAGAATGACCTTGTTTTGACCCGAAATGCTGTAGCTCGGCCTATTTACGGTATTTTGTCGAAGAAGCGCACGAAAGGGAGAAAGTTACCTTCATAGCTAGCAAACTCCCGTCGTTGCTTCAGATCAAAATGTTGTAACTTCCAATCCGATCGCAAGGGAACGTCATCCAAGGAGTGAAGTCAAACAACAATGAAGGAGCCGGCCAAGTGTGACGAAAGGGAGAAAGTTACCTTCATACTGAGCGAACTCCAGTCGTTGCTTTCAATCAAAATGCTATAACTTCTGATCCGTTTGCAAGGGAGCGTCGTCCAAGGAGCAAAGTCGAATAGCAATGAAGGAGCCGACCAAGTGACATGAAAGGGAGAAAGTTACCTTCACACTGAGCGAACCCCCATCATTGCTTCCGATCAAAATGTTGTAACTTTCGATTCGATTGCAAGGGAAAGTCGTCCAAGGAGCGAAGTTGAACAACAAAGAAGAGCCGACCAAGTGACACGAAAGGTAGAAAGTTACCTTCACACCGAGCGAACTCCAGTTGTTGCTTTTGATCCGACTGGAAAGAGCGAAGTCGAACAACAACTTGGCAGGTCGGGTTCGGGTGAACTCGAACTCGAAGCGGGTCGGGTTCGAGTACAGGAAACTGACATGTTTCCAAAAATAGGTCGGGTTCATGTCGGGTTGAACAATGCCGGGTCAGTTCTGAGTTCAACCCGAACCCGACTCATGACCCGATTTTGATAGTCATAATATTTATTGATTTAGATAAAATATATGATAAAGTTCCAAGAGAAGTGCTTTGGACGGTTCTAGAAAAGAAAGGAGTTAATAATGCTCATATTCAAGTCATTAAGGATATATATCAGATGTTGTTACTTGTTTACAAACACTAGATGGTTTGACCAAGTATTTCTTATTTCAGTTGGATTACATCAAGGTTCAAAAATAAGCCCATATATTTTTTGCTTAGTCATGGATGTTCTTATTAGACATTTGCAAGAGGATATACCCTGATGTGTGCTTTTTTCTTGCAATATTCTTCTTGTTGATAAGACTAGAGAGGGAGTTGAAGGAAAACTTGTATTATAAAGGAAAACTTTAGTTAATCATGTCATTAAATAGACTACATGTTTTAGACTTCTCGGGTCTATTGTTCAAAGTGCTAGAGAAATAGATGGGGATATTAATAGTAGAATTCAAGTTGGATGATTGAAGTGGAGGAATACATCGGGCCTGTTGTGTGATAAGAAAAGTACCCCTCAAACTTAAAGAAAAATTCTATAAGATGGTGCTGAGACCTGTAATGCTTTATTGCACAAAATGTCAGCTATTAAAAGTGTAGCATAAAATTCAGTGTTGCAGAGATGAGGATGCTCAGGTGGATGAGTGGCTTTACTCTTAGAGATAGAATGCAAAACCAGCATATATGTGAAAATGTTGGAGTAGATCCAGTTGTATATAAGATTAGATAGCATCGTTTTAGATGGTTTGGTCACATAACATGATGACCTTTTGATAACCCAGTTAGGAGAGTAGATTTATTAGATTTGACCTATGTTAAGAAAGGTAGATGTAGACCTAAAAAGACATGGTTATAAAGCATTATAAATGGTTTTTTTTTATTAGATTTGAATGTGAATTTTACTCTTAACAGGACAGAATGAAGAAAAAAAGATTCATGTTGTTGACCTTACGTAGTGGGATAACACCTTGTTGTCAAGGGAAACAATCGCTTTATTTTCTCTTAATGGGATTTTCAACATCTTGTGGCTTAAGATGCACAGTGGTCGTATTCTCAACTTCTTCCATATGAGTTAAGAGCATCCAACTTCCACATCATCTCCCAAGTTAGTACCACAGCAGAACTGCAATATTTACCCTCACAGATTCCATTGCAGGTTCAAGCTTTGAGGATGCAACACTAGATTCACCGGAGGATCCATGTTTCTTCGATCGTTGCCATAATATCAAAAAGGGTTTCTTCATCCTGACAAAGTGCAATGATTATTATTAATGAGGCTGTAGGAGAGATTAGTGAAGTGATATTTCAAAATTCTATTGCATCTATTTATAGCATTTTGCTTGAAATTTGCTCACCAGCATGATCATATCTCTTCTGCTCTTATTACATGTCATGTACCAACATCTTGATATGGCGACGAACATCTTGATCCGGAGACAAGGTCTTCTCACGGAAAAATTATTAGGTGCGAAGTGTGCACCGTCAGCACAAACATGGGTACCTAGCGGTACCCAGCGGTACCGAGTGCCGGTATCTAGCACGGAATAAGACTTGTGCGGACGGTTTTTCCCGTACGCACTCCGCATCTAATAATCTCTCAATGGAATGCCCAATGATCAATGAGTATACGACATTTCAATATAATGTGCAATCATTAATCACAACTCTCAATTAAAACATAATCGGTAGGATTATGACGCCTTCAATTCGGAAATGATAACAGGCAACTAACGTTCTTGTTCTCAAATCAATGGGAGAATCTTTTAATGACTATATTTACTAGTCCTTATTACTAGAATCTTGTTTGGGACAATTTTTTTTCAACTTTTTACAATAATTTTTTTTACAAAAAAAATTTAAAATTTAATTTTTTGTATTAAAAAGTTGTTTTGAAAAATAGTATAAAATATTTGTATTAAAAAACTATTTTAAAAAATAATAAAGAAGATGTGACAAACAAAGCGTGAATCACTCTAAATTTGATGTCTTACTCGTATATTCTCTTATTTGTTTTAGTGCTTTCTTTTAATTAGCCTTTGCTGATTTAAAAAGCCGTCAATCACAATTATCCTTGTATAAAACAAGAGAAGAAAAGAAAAATCTTAACAAATTTTAAGTGAGCCTTTCAATTATTAAATTTATTTTAAAGTACAATATCAATTTTTGATTGAATATTTATATATTTTATTCATTTCAAAATAAATTCAATAGTATCAAAATCTTTATGAACAAAATTTGATTGGGATATCGTAACCCAATTTGCTCCAACAAAAATAACGTCAAAATTTCTATGAGAAAATTTTGATTTGGATGTAGATAAAAAATGTTAGAAATAAATATACTAGACATTTAAATTAATTATTAAAATATTATACTCAATGTTAAAATTAACCTAGCAATTTTAAAATTTATCTTGAACAAAGTATTGTTAGAATATAATAACCCAATTATTTTTTCCAAAAATATGGTTATTCTTTTAGTCAAATAACTAAGGTAGCTTTGCTTGATCCATTGGTTGAGCTTTGCCAATTAACCTAGAGTTTTTGGATTTGAAATTTTGGTATGTAATGTGTATAAATTTATCTTAATTGATCTAAATATTAAAAAAAAAAAAAAAACCACATTGTTGTACATTACAAAAAGCTTTTCTCAAACAAGAAACAAATTTTTTTTTTCATTCAATTAGCATAGCCAACAATAACAAATGAAACCAGGACTATAAATGACTGTTAAATAACACAATCGATGAGCTGAAAAAAGAAAGAAAAAGAATAACAGTATAGAGTGCAATAAACACATATGGATGAATCTACAGTTCATATACGGCATCAAAATCTTCTCTTTTTTCAGTTTGATTTTGTTTATATTTATATGGTTAGAAACATATATCAACAATCACACAATCTTACAGCTTGAGAGCTGTTAGTTGACTTTCAGGTCGTAGAGAGTGGTCAGCAAGCTTATAAATGTGCATATTTTCCATTGCCACTCTACACCTAACTGATAGTTCATTGAAATCAATGATTTAAACATTTCTTTTACAGGTCTCTTATACTGTCTGAAGTTTATAGTATATTGTGACTTTACAGCAAGCTTTAAAATTCTTAAAATTTTTCTGCCCTGATACCAACTCTGAGTACCTCATAAGCATCTCTGCTCCTAGTTCTCTTCACACCAGTATTGAAATAAACCTTAGATCTGTCAGTTGAGATGGATGTGACCTTCATCCAAATCAAAACTTTAGTCTTCATACCTTCAATATGCGACAGTTTCCCCTTCTCCAGATAGCCACTGACACAGGTGAGAAATCTCAGAACAGATGAATCTTTGTAACCTACCTCACAAACTGAGGGAATCAAGACAGTTAGCCTCTTTGTATCTTCATTGAATTCATAGTTGGTGGAATCCCCTGGAAATATGCCCACTGGTAAGTCATACTCTCGCAGTAGTTCTGCCAAAGGTTTCTGCATTTTCCCTGCAAAAATTCATGTTCTAGTCGCAGATATTTTATAGGTAATTAATTTAAAAAATGGACCGTTGTCAAACTACCTTGTAAAAGCTTTGATTATCAAACTGAAACAATATCATGAGATTAGTATTTGCCAGAATGGATCATTTTGTGATAGTAGATCATTCCTAATTAATAACAATGAAATCTAGAAAATAAAAAAATTTCCAGTATAAGGTAAAATAACTGAAAATAGGTCGATTCTAATGAATTTGGAGCCAATTTCTTGTTTCCATTGACTAGCCTAAGAAACAAAGTATCATTCTTGTGTTATAGATCAAATGAGAATGGATAATAGTCTTATTTAAAAAGTGAAATAAGAGTTGGGTTTTAATATTCCAGTAATGACAAACCATTAGCTTAAATTTTTTGGGAAGATGGATTTTCAGCTACTTGTATATTATGTTCAACCCGAATCCCCAACGTTCAATCTCCTAACAAATGACATGTTTGATCAGCATCAAGTGTTCCATGCAATTTGAGAAACTTATGTGTCGGTTTATCTCCTATTATAGTTGAGGACAATTTGAAAGCGAGTGACTCCCATGCACGATCTACCATGATTGAGTGGGGCACTTGGTCATTATACTTAATAGCGTCCAAGAGCTGTTGTAGAGATAACTTCAGTGAAAGATTATCATTTGAGAGAAATTATTAGTTGAAAGTTGAAAGTTATTATATTTTTTCAACAAACTTTCAACCATCGCTCAACTGACTAAAGGTAGTTGATCCTCTATTTTTAGGTACTTTCGATCAAGGGATTTTTTATTTTTCACCCATCTACAGATACTTTATTTTTTTATTATAATATCTTATGCATTTTGATCTAGGAGGCTCTCCAAATCCCAATTTAGCCAAACTGGAACTAATTTAATCAGGATGGAAATTTCTGGTTTTAAACATGTACAACAAAGGCTAAGGGTGTCCAAACAATCATAAAACTAGCTAGGGGATCTAATGTCACAATGGGGCTTAATTTATGCTAATTAGCTCAAAATAATCAGTAAGACAGTTTCATGCCACCATATTAGAGAGGTTGAATTTTAAAGATATAATCAAATTTGGTGGAAGAAGGTTAAATGGATAAAACCTAATTGCATTCAAGTCATCAAATAGGACAAAGAAATAGTTCCACAAAACCTTTTGAATTCTCACACCAGATCATGATGCCTTAAAGTTACTAGCATTAATCCCAAAGCAAGTGGTTTAATTCCAAAGTTAAGGGCACATTTTCCAATGATGAAATCTTCACATTCTCTCTCCTCCCACTCTCTTTTTTGATTTGGAAGTTTAAATTTCTTATCTTTATCTAGAGTTTGAGGAAAGAATGGAATGATTGAATTAAAAAAAAAAACCCTAATTACAGTTTAAATCTTTTATCAATTATATGATAATCTATTCTTCTTGATCATCTTATCTCTTTTAACTCATCTTGCATTATTCTTGTATTAATCTCATAGGAGACCCTAGATCTGCTAAATTATTTAATGTCAGCAGACCTAATAGAAGATATACAATATTCAAACCAATGAGATCTTATTTTGAGAAAAACCCTCAAAACCCTAATCCAACTACTTGATTGATTAGTGGATTCTCAAAACTCACCATCTTAAAAGCTAGGACCTGCTAGATCTTCATGTTTGATGTGAGATTGGCCAAGAATTATAAATAATTCTTTGAAGGGATGTAAACTCTTTTTTCCACAATGTGAGTTGAAAAAAGATGATGACCTTAATCTCATGGTATTGTTATAATCTTACATTTGAATATCCTTCAGAATTTTTAGATTTACATTGAGATTAATATAATTTAAAAAAAAATATCACATGTCATATGTTGTACTATTTTTAGTGTAAATCTAAAAGCTTTAAAGTTCATGCTAATGTGTTGTGCATTAGGATATTTTGACAATTTTTTTTAGTTCTGGTCTATATGAAACCTAATAATAGGATTTAGCCATTCTGATTGCAGTCCTACATCATATACCCTCTAAGTTTGCTTAGTTTCAAGACAAAAATCTTCTGCAGTCTGATCAAATATCAATAGTTAAGTTACACTCGCTTTGCCATGTAATCTCAGCCATTTGAAAAGGATTGGGCTTTCTTGAAGTTGTGTCAACATCAAAGCAACTGCCTGATTGCTTTTAAAGAGAATAGAGGATTAGTTGATTTAATAAGCAATTTAACATAGAATAAATAACGAAAAATTCAGAATAAATTTCTAATATTAAAGGATATTAATGTTTATTTTCTAAAAATGTCATGTGTTATTATTGGGATGTATCAAATATATTTCAAAAAATTTTCTTAAAACAAAGATTTTACAACTAAATTTAAAGGTTTTGAAAATTAGAAATAATTCTAAGAATATTCCTAAAAATTAGGACAAATATTCCATCACCCCATAAATATTTATGGTAATTTTTTTTCGAAATCAATTATCATGTAGAGTTTAAAGAATGAAGTGTAAAATGAATATAGTGAATTTGAAATGTTTGAAGTTGTTTGGATGAGTGTAAAAAGAATACATGAGATTTTTTTTATTTGTTAGACTTGAAGTAAAATAAATATAAGTTCAAACTTCAAAAATAGTGATGGTGGTGGCCAGCGCTGGCTCTGATGAATGGCAAGGGCTGGTGACGAAGGGTGCTCTGCCGTGATGGTGGCAAGCAGCGACCGACAACTGAGGGTGGCCGACGGCTGCAGCCGGAGGTGGGTGGGGGGTGGCAACAAGCTAAGCTTGATTATGGTGAAAAATGTTTTCATTCATTATTAGGTGAGTTTACTTTATCTCAAAAATGTACTAAATTATTATACACTACATTTGAAATACTATACACTATATTCAATTCTCATCTAACCAAACATCGATATTTTTAAAATCCCTAGAAAAAGAATACTTTTCACCCACTTTATTTCAAACTAAACAACAACAACAACAATAACAATAAGCCTTTGTCTCACTATGTGGGGTCGGCTATAAGAATCCTTTTTCTCTATTGTGTCATGTTAAAAGTCAAATTCTCGTTTAAATCTAATAAAGAAAGATCATTTCTAATATTTTCTAACCAAGTTTTTGTAGGTCTACATGTACCTTTCTTAACATAAGTCAAATCTAATACTTCTACTTTCCTAACCGGGTCATCGAAAGGCCACCATTTTATGTTACCAAACCATCTAAGGCGACTCTCTCACTGACACTACTCCAACCTTTTCATGTATATGCTCATTTCGTATCCTATCTCTAGGGGTAAAACCACTCATCCACCTGAGCATCCTCATCTCTGCAATACTTAACTTATGTCCAACATTCAGCACCATAAAGCATTGCAAGTCTCACCACCATCTTATAGATTTTTTCCTTAAGTTCGAGGGGGACTTTTCTATTACACAACAAGCCCGATGCATTCCTCCACTTCAACCATCAAACTTGAATTCTGTTGTTAATATCCCGATCTATTTCACCATCATTCTGAACAATAGATCCAAGATATCTAAAACGTGTACTCTTATTAACAACTTGATCGCCCAAAGTCACAATCCCCTCACTAGGTCTATTACTACAAAAACTACACTCCATATTTTTAGTTTAGATCTACTAAAGCGAAAACCTTTAGACTCCGAGGTTGACCTCCATAATTCAAGTTTACCTTCAACTCCCTCTCTAGTCTTATCAAAAAGAAAAATATTATCAGCAAAAAGCATACACCAAGGTACATCCTCTTGCAAATGTCTAGTGAGAACCTCCATGACTAAAGCAAAAAGATATGGGCTTAAGGCTGATCCTTGATGTAATCCAACCGATAGGAAAATACTTGGTCAAACCACCTTATGTTTGAATACAAGTAATAGCTCATGCATACATATCTTTAATGATTTGAACACAAGTGATAGTTTGAAGTTTTTTTTCTATTTACTTTAAACTAAACAACCATTAAGAAAAAATTGAAATTTAAAATATATTAATAAATCCATCCTCTTGAATTTATAATATAAGAGTAGTATTAAATTCATATTTTCGAGATGTAATTAATCATATAAGTTTGCACTTGTGAGATATCTTGATCCCTGAATTTGAGTAAACCTTGTTCTTGTTATTCAAAAAAAAAATCTCTAGTAACCATATGCCTTTCATTGATTAAATGGGTCTATAGAATGTATTGATTGATGATGATCATTATTCCACTGCATTCCAGCATACATCCTTTAAAGCATACAAGAATGGTTGTACTTAATCAGGTTTGCTACAAATTATATTTGGGGGATTTACATACACACCATATTATTTCAAGATATTTATATATCTAACACCTAAAATTTTAATATTACATGTCTACCATGCATAGAACAAATATGGGTGCATGGAATGAAATATTAAAGTTTATAGGATGGCATGGGTGGTAACAATGAAATATAAGAGTGATATATTTGATAATAATTTTTTAAATAAGTGATAGACATGTAATATTAAAGTTTTTACTGTTAGATATGTAAATAGCATGAAATAAAGTGGTATGCATGTAAATCCACCTTTTATTTATCATTTTTATATTTTAACCATTGTTTTTTAACCCAATAGATGAGATCTAGGCACTATATATTGATAAAAACTTAATAGTTGAAATTTAATATAATTTTATCCAAAGATGTTCCAAAAGTGAATCAAACATGAAATTAAAGTTTTCAAAAATAATCAAACACAGTCAAACTCAAAAAGACCAAAAATCTAAAGTGTCGAGTTTAAACATAGGCCAAGATCGACCGATTTACAGCCTTAAAAATGAGACATAATATCAGGGTTAGCCAACATAATAAAGAATGTAGTTTTAATCAAACAATTTAACTAAGTATTAAGATAATTTTAGAGTTATTATTATGAAATTAAGAATTAATTTTTTTCATTTAATGGGTAACAATCCTATGTTGTTTTCAAGTTGGATATATAATCTCAAGGAATTGTTTAGAAGGTATATTAAACTTGATTTCAAAGGATATAACAAAACAAAACTAACAAGATATGCTCAAATATTTGGTAAAGTGTTAATTCTAAAACAAGACTAACATGAGCTAAATATGAAACATAAATTTAAACGATAATATTTACCATTTTTTAGTTATAAATATCACTTGAAGATAAACAAGGAGACAACAATGGGTGGTTTAAGTATTTTTTTAGGTTTAAAGATTTACAAAAATCAGTTGTAAAAAATTATTATATTATAATTTTTTTTCATTGAAGGTCTTAGGCATTAGAATCAATCAAGCTGAAACACTCCAAAAACAACATATGATGTGTAGAAGTTTGAAAAATATTATACTTACTCTTCTGTTAGGACTAATTAGTCCAATTAGTATTTCTAAGAAAAAAGCTTTGCATCTCACCCAAAGCCCATAAAACACATTAACACTATAATAACGTATGTTCAAATTTAATCCTATCGAATAAATTTTAGTTTATGGATATTCTTTTAAGATGATGCAGAAGTTCAAGGGTTCGAATTATTTTCTATCAACTAATATCCATGGCTGAATTTATCCATTTATACATCGGGATGGAAACTTAAATGCATTACCGCATGGTTTTCTACATGTCATACACCAAACAAGGAAAACCATATCATCTATGAAAATGATCTCCTAAGCCTTGGTAAGATAAATATTATTTGATTCATGTTCAGGGAATATTATTTCCGAAAATCATATTTGTTGATGATAAACAAAAAAATTGAAAGACAAACAAACGTCTTTTATCAACATAAAAGATTTTCTCCCGGGAAAGAATTGAATCAGAAAAGTTGCAAGTATGCAATGATGAATCCTTGTGGATTTGTTGCTGAAGCTTAGAAGTGAGCTTCACAAAGGCCATATATAAGCTAAAATGAATGGCTCAAACAAGAATGCAAAATATGTTAATTCATACAACTTGTTAACAAACCCGAATGCCACAGTTCATATATAAACCATGTGATTATATGATGAGAGTGACTTCAACTGATGATTTCACAGCTAAGATCTTTCAAGCACAGTAAGAGTTCAACGTAATTTAGAGAGTTAAACATAATTGTTGCACGACTAAGAAATAAAAATAAAAATGTCACGCATAAAAGGAGGCAAATACTGAAATCAAATTATTTGGGAATGATACCTTTAAGTTTATTGACCAGCCATTTTGCTCCTCCCTCAATGTCATTTGAAAGAGACTAATTCCAACAAGTATGCACAGTTAGAAATATAAGCTTCAAGAGTACTTGCTCTTTTTTAAGAAATCACAGAGATTAAAAAGTTAAGGTTAAAGAGCAGTATAATTTCTAACTAACCAAGATAATTGTGTTTAAGAACAAACAAAGGTTTTATTAGAAGTTAACATTAAAAAGCTTTGGAAGTCATAATCAATTGAGAATAGTTTATTATAAGATTGCATATGTACAGGAATTGTAAACTTGTTAAATTATTATTGTCGTCACTACATACCGTCGCCTCTTATTTTAATATGTGGATTTCATAACCAAAAGAGAATCATCTAGACATATTGTAATAACAATTAGGGATAATTCAAGATATTTTTCAATGCATTTATATAATCATAAGCATCAATGCGTTTGATTTTAAAAGGGAATAATTTCTACAAGATGGAAAACATAATTACCAACCTTAATTTTAAGAATTTATGTTCCACTTGAAAGTTGATTCCCTCGGTGAGACATATATAATATAAAGATTATTTTCATCCTTGAACTCCCTTTATCATAACTTTGTTCTTTATTAATTATTTCAGATTTTCTTCTTGATAAATTTTAAAAATTGATCGTTAATATTTATAACTAGTGTTTTAAAACTAAACTGGACCAGCCAGTTCAAACAGTTCGATCATGAACCGGTTCAGTTGCCAATCCGGAGATGTTCAAAACCCGAATTTGTATTGAATCGGTGAGAACCGATTTGAACCGTTGGTTCAATCGGTAAACCGTTGAAGCTGTATTGAATCGGTGACAACCGATTTGAACCGTCGGTTCAATCGGTAAACCGTTGAAGCGTCTCTAATTAGGTAGAACTGGCAGGTTCAATAAATAATATTTTTTATTTAAATAATATTTTTAATATTAAATTTCATTTAATTAATTGTAAACACATTTTTAAAATCATATGCTTATGTAAATAAATTTAAGCAGAATATAAAGCTGCTAGCTTGCCACATCATACAACTTTTCTTTTTGTTTGTAGTATATGCTTTATTCTATATAAAGAGAACAACTTAAAATTCCTCTATGATGTGGGACTAAAAACCTGTAAGAATTTTGTATGAGCTTAAACTATCATATTGCTTGAGATATAAATTTGGGTTGAAAATGCATATAATTTATTAAAGTTAGAGACATAATTTTTTATATTATAAATTTTATATATTATATTACTATTTTTATTA